TCACTTAATCCTTAAAGTGGTGTACCGCAGTAGCTGGGCACTTGCCTAGCATGTGTGAGGTCTTGTGTTCCATCTCCAGAATCACACAAAAAAATTCAGGCTGGCCTTGAACTCACAGTGATTCTCCTGCTTCAGCCTCTCAAATGCTGGGATTATAGGTGTGCACCACCATGCCTGGCCTGCTTTTATCTTTTATATAAATGAAATCATGCAATGTGTGCTCTTGGGGGGGTGCTGGAATCTTTAAGATCTTTTTGGATCTTTTTACTAGTCTATGTTTGCAATCCGTGGTACCTCAGTTCACAAACTTAATTCTTTCCACGATTCTGGTCACAAGCCCAATTGGACGAGAACTGAATCAAATTCAGTGGTTAGATTCAGCGTTGACCTTACGCAGAAATTTGATTCGGTTCACATCCACTTCAGTTTGTGACCTGAATCATTGAAAGAATTAAATTCATGAACCAAGGCACCACAGTAGTCACATTTGTTTTGGGGGAGTTGGTACATGTATACATCATATCTTGATCATTTCTTATCCTTTTATCCTCACTTCCTACCCTGCCTTCCCCTTCAGGAATTTTTTTAACTTAATAGTTTTTTGTTTGTTTGTTTGGTTGGTTGGTTTTGGTTTTTTTCCAGTACTGGGAATCGAACTCACAACCTCACACTTGCCAGGCAGGCACTGTGCCACTGAGCTAAATCCCCAGCCCCCCTTAATAGTTTTTTTTAAAGGTATCTTTAGGTAAATAAAAAAATTGAGTAGAAAATACAGATGTCCCATATACCTCCCCCTGGACCTTCCTCTGGTAATAACATTTTGTAGTACTGTAACACATTTATTACAGTTGATGAGTGAATACTGATACATTGGTATTTAATTAAAGACCAGGTGGTGGCACTCACCTGTAATCTCAGCACTTTTGAGGCTGAGGCAGGAGAATTTCCAAGAGTTCAAAATCATGTTGGGCTGCATAGTGAGTTCAAGGCCAGCCTGGAATATACAGTAACAGTCTGTCAATAAATAAATAAATAAATACCATTTTTTTTTTTTTTTTTTTTTTCCTTAACAGACTCTTTCTAAGTTATCCAGGCTGGTTTTGAACTTGTCATTCTCCTGCCTCAGTCTGAGTGCTGGTCTTACAAGTATGTGCTACCCTGACCAGCTTATTTATTTATTTTATTCTTTTTAAAAATTTTGCCGAGCACGGTGGCACATGCTTGTAATCTTAGCACTCGGGAAGGCTGAGATAGGAGGATTGCTGCAAGTTTGAGGCCAGCCTGGGCTCCATAGAGAGTTCCAGGCCAGCCTGAATTACACAGTGAGACCGTCTCAAGAAAACCCTCCTAAATAAATAGATAAATAAAGCAGCACAAACCTATGCAATTATTTTGTTTTCTTTGTTTGTTTGTTTTTTGGTGCCAGGAATCAGACTCAGGACCTTGCACTTGCCAGGCAGGTGCTGTGCTGCTGAGCTGTATCCCCAGCCAGTCCAACCCACGCAATTAGAAGCTGGGATTGTGGTCACTTAGAAGAGGGAAGACAAGAAAGCTTTGAGGCCACCGATGCTGTCTCCTCTGCTAATCTGAGAGCCAGTCACACACTTCGTCAAGTTTATATAAATTCATTGAGCTGTATTTCTCTATTCTCTCTCTCTCTCTCTCTCTCTCTCTCTCTCTCATTCTCACTCTCTTTTTGTTGTCATTTTGAGAGAGGGTCTCACTGTGTAGCCCAGGCTGGCCTCAGATTCACAGTGATCCTCCTGCCTCAGCCTTTGCAAGTGCTGGGGTTACAGATGTAGGCCACCATGTACCACTCAAGAAAACATTTAAAAGAAAATACTCTCTCCTAATATGTTCAAGTGAGAAGGTGTATGAGGGAGGGGAGTGGAAGAAGGGAAGGAAGGGAAAAGGGGGAAAAAAGAGAATGGAAGGGGAAAAATGGAAACAAAGCTGTATAAATGGGGAGGGGGAAAGGGGTTGAAGGGAAGGGAGGGGAATGGGGAGAAAAGAAGAAGTAAGATATGTCAGGGCCTGGCAAGCACAAGGTCCTGAGTTCAATTCCTGGCACCAAAAAACAAAAAACCAGATATAAATTCCCTATGATGAATGCAATCAATATGTGCTAATAAAAAATAGCTAACAAAACACACAAAAAAACAAGGAAATAGTCTCTCCCAGAGCAATGTCCAAATATTTATGTGGATGCTTCCCATTTCTGGGGTGTGTCACCTCCTTCCAATGGCGCAGTACGGGAAGGGAAACAAGCAACCTCACAGGGAGGATCCACCTGACTCCAGTCAGCCAATCAGCCCCCAGCCACAAGGCTCAGTCACGTTGCTGGTGCGTGTGCCCGGTGTGACATGAGGACAGTGTTGCCTTCCCTGAGGTCCTCAGACTCAGCATGAGCAAAATCCCTAATTCCAACAGTCGGATGTCCACAAAACACCTGGCCAGGACTCCTGATGATTGTCAAGGTCATCAAAAATGAGGGTAACCTGAGAAAGTGTCATAGCCACAAATCATCCAAAGAGCCTTGAAGACTGAATGTCACGTGGGATCCTAGATAGGACCTGGATCAGAAAAGGATGGGAATTAAAGCCAAGGACAGGGCTGGGGATTTAGCTCAGTGGTGCAGCACCTGCCTGGCAAGTGCGAGGTCCTGAGTTCAATTCCAGATATTAAAAAAAAAAGAAAGAAAGAAAAAGAAAACCAAGGACATTTAACTGAACTGTGGACTTTGGTTCATTAATGAGATAATGTCATTTGTTTATAACCCCAGCCTTGCTCTCGGCTTCGGCCCTCCTTGAGAGAGTGGACCTAGTGGAAACAGCCTTCCTGCCCCCTCATCAGCAGCCCCAGATCTGCTCTGTCCCTCTCCAAGTTCCATCCTTGCCCCTATGCATCTTCATGAGTCAATCCCACAGCTTTTTCATTTTCAGGAGTTAAAGTTCCAGTCTAATCCAAGCCAAATTTTACTTCTCAGCCAGGAGTAGTGGTGCTCACCTATAACCTCAGCACTCTGAGAGGAGGCTGAGGCAGGAGGATCAGGATAGGAATCTTTTTTATTTTTCCTTTGGTTTAATTTTATTTATTTTTTATATATAGGATCTTGCTATGTAGTCCATACTGGCCTTGAACTCACTATGTAGCCTAGGCTGGGCTCAAACTCACGGTGATCCTCCTGCCTCAGCCTCTCAAGAGCTGGGGTTACATGCATGTGTCACCACACTGGGCAGGAGGATCATTAATTCAAACCCAGTCTAGGCAGTGTAGCAACTTAGTGGGAGTTTATCTCAAAATAAAAAATAAAAAAGGGCTGGGGATGTAGTAGTATGAAGGCCCTGGGTTCAAGTTCCAGGGCTGCAAAAAAAAAAATTTACTTCTCATATCCAATTTAAGACTGTCCCCATCTTCCTCTTAGATGTGAACAACACCTTGGTCTAGCTTAAAGATCTCTTTTTTGCAATGAACATGTATCTTCATTTAGTATCTTCATTTAGTTCCATGATAACTGACATTTCTCTTATGTCATTTCTCCTGATTGATAGATAAATAGGTAGGTAGGGAAGTACACAGTAGATAGATAGATAGACAGACAGACAGATAGATAATGGAGAAAAGTATTATTATTTTTGAGACAGGGTGCCTCTGTTGCTCTGGGTGGCCTTGAATTCCTGGGCCCAAGTGGCCCTCCTGAGTAGCTGAGACCACAGGTGTGCACCATGATGACTGGCTAAAATGTACATTTGTTTAATCATTGGAAAGGAAGTCACAGACATTAAGACACTTCTTCCTCAAATGACAGCATCAATCTCCTAAAAATAAGAGAACACCCCCCATAGAACCAGAATACAGTATTATATTCACATCTAAGAAAACTAACATTCATTCCAGAAAATCATTTAATTTTTCCATGTTTCCATGTCCCTAAGGGTCCCCGAAATATCTTCAGTAGCTTCAAAAACGATTTTTTGTTGAATCCAGGATCCGACCAAGTTCACACTTTGTGTTTCGTTGTTATGTCTCTGTAGCCTCTAGATCTAGACCAGGCTCTGGTCTTTCAAAGTTGACCCTTTTTTTTTTTTTTTTTTTTTTCTGGTACCGGGGATCGAACTCACAACCTTGCGGTTGCTGGGCAGGCGCTGTGCTGCTGAGCTAAATCCCCAGCCCGAAGTTGACCATTCTGAAGAGCCCAAGCCACGGCCATGAGAAGCAAGCAGCCAAGAGCAAGGACTTTTAGTTCACTTTTTACTTTCTTACCATCTCTTACATAGGAGGGTGGGGAGGGGGTGTGTTGGTCCCCTCTATGTTGCTGAGACCAAGTACCTGACATAAACAACTTGCAGGGAGGAAGGGTTTATCTTGACTCACAGTTTCAAAGGTTTAAGTACATGGTTGGCTGTCTCCAAGGCAGAGACATCATGGAGGAAGGGCCTGGAGGAAGAGAGCTACTCACCTCGTAGCAACCAGGAAGCAGAGAGCTGGGAAAGAGCCTAGGAGGAAGAAGCCAGGGGCCAGACATAGCCTCCATGACACACCCAGAGGTAGGCTTCACTAGCCCCTTCCTCCTAGGCACCTCTCTATCCAACCAAGTTGACAGTTACGATTAACGAAACTTCTCTTCAGAATGTAGGATTCTTCTCATCTCCTCTTTTTAAATGGGAACTTGGGCTGAGCTTCAGTGACAGCTGGACCATGTCTACTTCCTACCTGGCCTGGACTACGTGTCCAAAGGCAGGGAAGGGGAGAATCCAAGGCCTAATTGCCACTTCCACTAACTGGCCCTGGCCTTGAGAGAAAGAAGCCCCTTAACCTGGCCCCTGAAAAGAACTGAACATTCGTCCCAGGCACCCAGAATCCCTCCTGGTCTGTCTCCAGAGGGCTGTCCTTGAGTTCTGAGAGTAGGTGGACCTGAGTGACCATGGCCCAGAGCCAAAGATCAATCCTTCCAGTTTTGTTCCGTGATCCAATTTCAGTATCAGGTAACCAGCCAGCTGGGCCGATCTGATGGGAGTGGTGTTTATAAAAGGCCCCTCATCTGCAGCCAGAAACCCCAGACGGGTCCCTACAACCCTGCTAATTTCCAGCACCTGCCTCCACAGGTACCTTCCTGGGCCTGTTTCCCAGTCCTGGGTTCCCCACCATGGATTCTGGGGACTGTCAGAGGTGGAGGAATGGGAACCATGGATAGGGATAGGAGGCCTGAGTTCTGGTCCCTGCTCTCAACTCAGTCTCTCCATGTTTAAGTCGGTGGCTTGAACTGGACCATCTCTAAGGACTCTTACTGGACAGAGAGATGGGGGTAGGGTAGCCCTGGCCTGGCTGAAGCAATCTCAGCCTCCAAGACTGGGAAGGTTGGGAGCTGTCCTTGCAGAGCTGCTATTTCTTGGTGTTGACGAAGGGTGCTGTGAGGGCAGGTAGTCTGCATCACCCCTGGGACCGCCCTCCTCCATGCTGGACAGGAGGGCTTCCTGTTGCCTGGGTATTGACAGGAAGCCCACTTTAGTCAAGAGTTTTGACACATACACAGCACACACCCTGTGCCAGGAGTGCCAGGGGGGCTGTGCTTAGTGTCTCTGTGTTGGAGGGGTCCCTGGCTCCACTACAGCTGCAGAATTGGAAATGGGGGAGAGGCAGGGCTGGGAATTCAGACACTTGAGCTGAAGATCCTGGGCTCCTTTCCAGCCTTGGGCTCTGCGACGTGCTAAGGGTGCCCCGGGGAACAGGACCATGACGAGGTATCTTAGTCCTCTGGGGTCCAGCTGTGAGCCAAGCTCAGAACCCACCAGTGCTTACTGAACAGGCAACTGCCTGAATGACTGAATGAACAGCCAGCACCGTCTCCACCCTCAGCCTGTTCCCTCCTTCCTTCTCTTTTGTAGTCAGTGCCGATGCCGTTGTTCCAGTTTCTTCCGTTCTCCACCATGGAGCTGCTCCTGGCTGCCACCATCTTCTGCTTGGTACTCTGGGTGGTCAGAGCCTCTTGGCCTCAGGTCCCCAAAGGCCTGAAGAGCCCCCCGGGGCCCTGGGGGTGGCCACTGATCGGGCATGTGCTGACCCTGGGCAAGAATCCACACCTGGCGCTGGCCAGGCTGAGTGCACGCTACGGGGATGTGCTGCAGATCCGCATCGGCTCCACGCCTGTGGTGGTGCTGAGCGGCCCGGACACCATCCGCCAGGCCTTGGTGCGGCAGGGCGACGACTTCAAGGGCCGTCCCGACCTGTACAGCTTCACCCTGATCACTGATGGCCAGAGCATGGCCTTCAACCCAGATTCGGGCCCCGTGTGGGCTGCCCGCCGGCACCTGGCGCTGGACGCCCTGAAGAGTTTCTCGGTGGCCTCAGACCCGGCCTCATCATCCTCCTGCTACTTGGAGGAGCATGCAAGCAGGGAGGCCGAGCATCTTGTGACCAAGCTTCTGGATCTCATGGCAGGGCCCGGGTGCTTTGACCCCTTCAGCCAGATGGTGGGCTCAGTGGCCAATGTCATCGGCTCCATGTGCTTTGGGAAGAACTTCCCCAAGACCAGCGAGGAGATGCTCAGTATTGTGAAGACCAGCAATGACTTCGTGGAGTCCGCCTCCTCTGCCAACCCCGTGGACTTCTTCCCCATCCTCCGCTACCTGCCCAACCCCACACTGCAGCGGTTCAAGAGCTTCAACGAGCGGTTCCTGCGGTTCCTGCAGAAGACGGTCCAGGAGCATTACCAGGACTTTGACAAGGTGCGTCCATCCAAGGTGGTCAGGCAGCGGGGCTGCCACCAAGGCCTGGGGGGGGCTCAGGGACAGCTGGGAGCAGCATGTGACCAGGGGCCATCCCTCCCTACTCTGGGCCTCTGTTTCCTTATCTTTACAGCCTCCCTCTTGGGGCCCCTCAAAGCCTGGGGAAGAAAAGCCTGTGAAAGGCACCCTGGCAGGGCCGTGCAATGTGAGAGGCCATTATTAGGAGTGAGAAGGCTTTTGTTCTGCAGGAACCTGAACCCCAACAGCAGCTAATCCCCAGCTCTGTGACACTTTGTTTCCCCGTGTTCACACCAACCCCTTCCTCCTTTGACCTAGACCCCCAGGGTTGTTGGGAAGAAGGGTCAAAGGGGCATCGGTAATAACATTTTAAGCCCAGCCAAGGTGGCCCTGTGCCTGCCCCGCACCCTGCCCAGTCCACAGAGACTCACTGGGTGGGGCTGGGCTGGGTCCAGCCTTCATCCTAGAACTTTTCCCAAGTATATATCCCCGGGCTGGGGATTTAGCTCAGTGGCAAAGCGCCTGCCTGGCAAGCACAAGGTCGTGAGTTCGATTCTCGGTACCGGAGAAAAACAAAAAAAAAAACCAAAAAAACAAAAAAAAACAAACCAAGTATATATCCCCTCAGAACAGTGTCCAGGACATCGCCAGCGCCCTGTTCAAGCACAGTGAAGAGGGCCCCCAGGTGAACGGCGACCTCATCCCCCACAAGAAGATTGTCAACCTCGTCAATGACATCTTTGGGGCAGGTAGGAGCCAGAGGCCTGCTGCTCACGGGCACCCGTGCCCAGCCCAGGCCCAGCCCCAACCCAGCTGCGCACCTGCCAAGCATGTGCCTTATGCCCCAGGGTAGAGACCTGGCCTGCAATCAGGTTGGAGCCCAAGCAGTGCCATCCACCCCCACAGAAAAACCAATCGAGTCCCCCGCCTTTCCTAGACCTCAGTTTCCCTGTGTGAATAATAAGTGCCCTGATGATATCTCAAGCCGATGTGGAGGAGATTCAACTCCTGCCCTTGGGCAAGATAACGCCCATTCTGCTTCTGGCGGGGGCTGGGGTTCACGGTCTCCTCACTCCTGTCTCCTCCACCCCCTTGCTTGGGGCTGCCCAGGCTTTGACACGGTCACCACTGCCATCACCTGGAGCCTCATGTACCTTGTGACCAAGCCGGAGATACAGAAGAAGATCCAGAAGGAGCTGGGTATGTGGTGCCCAGCCCTGTCCACCGGAGGCACCTTGGGCCTCAGGTCATTTGTTCCAACTAAAAATACCTGTTAGAGCTGGGCATGGTGTCGCACATGATGGCACACACCTATAATCCCAGCACTCTAGGAGGCCGAGACAGGGAGTATCACAAGTTCCAGCCCAGCCTGGGCAATTTAGCAAAATCCTATCTTAAAAAGGAGAAAGGCTGGGTATGGTGACACACGCTTGTAATCCCAGCACTCGGAAGCTGAGGCAGGAGCATTGCCACAAGTTCCAGGCCAGCCTGGGCAACACAGAGCAAGACCCTATCTCAGAATAAAATAAAATAAAGATACCTATTAGGTCCCTACAATGTGTGAGCCCCATTCCCAGAAAGTGTTGGGTGGATTTGTAGAGTCTCAAACATATGAGGAGATGGTAGTCCCACACGGTGACAAATGGTACAATGGGGGACACGGATGCTGTGTGGTAGTCAGCCCAGCCTCCGAGCTCTGTCTGACCCCGTTTCTGCAGACACTGTGATTGGCCGGGACCGGCGGCCCCAGCTGGCAGACCGACCCCGGCTGCCCTACTTGGAAGCCTTCATCCTGGAGGTCTTCCGGCACTCCTCCTTCGTGCCCTTCACCATCCCGCACAGGTGAGCCCCGCTAGGGCGCCCCCAGCTTCTTGGAGCCTCCCCTGGCCCCTTCTTGGGGTTTCCTTCCCAGCCATGACACCAGCTTCCTGTTCTGGCCGTTTATGATCCAACCATGCAGCACCCAGACGAAGGTCACCCTTGTGACCTCAGCAGTCACACGTCTCTGCTGTAGCAGGGCCATCACACCAACCCTGCAATCCAGCTTATGCTGGAACTGCTTCCTGGACAGATTTCTACCCTCATACCCTGCCCATGCCCAGGGTCAACCCTGACCCATGACTGATGTCCACTTCCACTGGTCCATTATTTCTGGAGCAACAGGCTTGAAACAAGGTGGCCGTGATGACACACACCTGTAATACCAGCACTCTAGGAGGCTGAGACAGAAGGATTACAAGTTCCAGCACAGCCTGGGCGGTTTAGCAAAATCCTATTTTAAAAAGTAAAAAGGTTGGGTGTGGTGGCACACCTGTAATCTCAGCACTCTGGAGGCTGAGGCAGGAGGATCGTTGTGAGTTTGAGGCCAGCCTGGGCTACAGAAGCGAGTTCAAAGCCAGCCTGCACTACATAGTGAGACCCAGCCTTAACCCCACACACACCAAAAAAGTAAAAAAGCTTGAAACTCCAGCACCTGCCCAGACTGCCCACTTCTTGGTGCCAAAGAATGGCCCAGCACACAACTGGGCACAAAGAGAAGTCTGTGCAGCATGCTGAGGTGGAGGAAGAGGCAGGATAATCTCTTCTCCCTATTCCTCACACTCTCTCCCATGGAGGGGCATGGAGATGGTGGGGGACAGATGTTGAGTGGGGGAAGGAGAAAGATGCACCAGCTTTCCAGCCCCAAGCGTAACAGCCCCCTCCTCCTCCTCAGCACAACCAGAGACACCACACTGAACGGCTTCTACATCCCCAAGGAGCGCTGTGTGTTCATCAGCCAGTGGCAGGTCAACCACGACCCGTGAGTAGGCGGCACAGGGGGTGCTGAGGGTTCTGCAGTCAGTGGCAGAGGGGACTGTTTGTCCCCCCCAAACTGTGTATGCAAGAATTGCTGGAGAGCTTATGTTAAGGGACAAAATTCAAATCACTGCATTCTCTGGTGTCCATAAGAAACAACCAGGAAGTCTGCTACAGAGTTTGCCCTGCCCCAAATTCTACTTTGGTGGGTGAGGGCAGGTACTCCAGAGTTCTGACGGGAGTGGCCCAGAGATTGCTCTTTGGAAACCCCACTTTAGTCTACAGCAAGGGGACCACAGGATGTACCATCCACCCTGGGACACTTCTGTGTGTGACAGTGCTACCCATATTTGTGCTATCAATAATCCTTTCAAAGCCAGGTGTGGTGGCACACACCTGTGATCCCAGTGCTTGGGAGGCTGAGGCAGGAGGATCACGGTGAGCTGGAGGCCAGACTGGGTGACATAGTAAGTTTAAGGCCAGTCTGAACTACAAAGTGAGACTCTCAAAAAAATAATAATAATTCCAAACACTAAGCATAAACCAAAGCCTTCTGTGATCCCCTCTGCTACCAGCATATTTTGAGTAGGATGACAACATGTTTTCTTTTCTATCATCATCATTATTACTGGGTTTTTTTGAGACAGGCATTTGCTATGTAGCCCAGGCTGGCCTTAAATTCTTGGTGATCCTACTGCTACCTGACTTTATTTTCCTTCTTTTAATGTCTTTTCTTTCTTTATTTATTTATTTTTCTTTCTTTCTTTCTTTTTCTTTCTTTCTTTCTTTCTTTCTTTCTTTCTTTCTTTCTTTCTTCCTTTTTCTTTCTTTCTTCCTGTGCTGCTGAGTTTGAATGAAGACCTCAGAATGAGCTACATCCCTAGACTTCTTCATTTTATTTCAAAATAGAGTCTCACTAAGTTGTCTAGGTTGGTCTTGAACTTGAAATCCTCCCACTGTGTTCTCCCAGGCTGCTAGGATTACTGCAGTATCAGTGTCCCTGTCTTTCTTTCTTTCTGTCTTTCTTTCTTTCTTGGCTTTTTGAGACAGAGTCTCACTATGTAGTTCCGGCTGGCCTTGAACTCACACTGTAACCCAGCCTGGCCCCCCCCCCAAGTGCTAGAATTATAGCCATGTACCACCACACCTGGCTGTTTCCTTTTGATAAAGCATTACTTTTTCTGTATAACAAATTAATATTAGAAACCACTATCTTCAATGCTGATCTTTTTGTTTTGTGTGAGTTTGAGGCTAGGCTGGGCTATATAGTGAGTTTAAGGTCAGCCTGAAATATATAGTGAGGCCCTGTCTCAGAAAAAAAGAAAGAGGCACCAAGCTTCCCTGTTTGGTTCTTCTTTTTTTTTTTTTTTTTTTTTTTTGGTGCAGTACCGGAGATCAAACCCACGACCTTCCATTTGCCAGACAGGCACTTACGCCACTGAGCTGTATCCCCAGTCTGTTCCCCGTCTGGTTCTGTACACTAAGTCTTCATTGTTCTCACTCTATTCGGACACTTGTGTTCACAGAGGGCCGATCGGGAGGCTCCCGGGAGCCCCTGGCCTCCCCAGCCCACCAGGCCCTCTGATCTCTACAGGAAGCAGTGGGAGGATCCCTTCGAGTTCCGCCCGGAGCGATTTCTTGTGGCCAACCACACTGCCCTCAACAAGACCTTGAGTGACAAGGTGCTGCTATTCGGCCTGGGCAAGCGCCGGTGCATCGGGGAGACGCTGGGCAGGTGGGAGGTCTTCCTGTTCCTGGCCATCCTGCTGCAGCGGCTGGAGTTCAGTGTGCCGCCAGGCGTGAAGGTGGACATGACCCCCATCTACGGGCTGACCATGAAGCCGCCCCGCTGCCAGCACCTGCAGGCACGGGCTCGCTTTACCAAATGAAGAGGCCATCACAGCCAAGGCAGGGATGGGCACCCTGTGAAGGCTTGACCTTGTTTCTCTCCTTTTCTTTGTAAAGAACAGTTTCAGCTAGGGGTGGTGGTAATCCCATTACTGAGGAGGCTGAGGCAGGATGGTCGTGTGTTCAAAGTCAGAGCAGGCTACATAGTGAGTTTGGGGCCAGCCTGGATTACATAATGAGATCCTGTCTCAAAAAAAAAAAAAAAATCAAAGAAGCTTTACTGAGATACAATTCCTAAGCCATAGAACTCATTGCCTTTAGCGTAGTCACGTGATTCTACTTCTGTCTCTGCGGATCTGTCTGCTCTGCACTTTGCATATAAATGGAACCATGCAATCTAAGGTCTGTGCCTGTCTTTTCTCAAGTTAGAATAATGCAGAAAGAATCAGCATAATCTTTCCAGGGCCCATGCACGCCTCATCCAGCCCTGGTTTTTTCCTGGGTCTGACTCCCCATCGGCATGGATGGGTTCTTCATGTCCCTCTTCCCTCTGTTCCCGTGTGACCCAAGTCTGAGCGCTTGGAGGGGCCAGGGAGGAGAGGGTCCCCTGCAAGCGCTCAGACTTGGAAATCAAATCCAGACGAGCAAATAAGGATCCTTCCTGCCCCATCCCAAGGGACAGAACGTGTGACTTCCCACCAGCTCTTCATTTGCCTGTCCACAGCCAAGGGAGAGCAGGCTCCCGAGGCGCTTCGGTAACTCAAAAGGTCCAGGTCTCCTCAGAGACAAAAAATATAGCTCACAGGACGGAGGAAGTGTTTGCAAAACATCTATCTGACAATAGATTAATACCCAGGCAGCCAGGTATGGTATTAATCTCAGCACCCAGGAGGCTGAGACAGGAGGGTCAGCGTAAATTCAAGGCCAATTTGGGTTACATAGTAAGACTCTGTCTCAAAAACAGAAACAAACAAATAAAAGATTAATAATACCCAGAATGTATAATAAACACCCACAACTCAACAACAAAGAAACAACTCAAGGCAAAAATGGCCATAGCTGGTTTATTTAAAAAAAAAAAAAAAAGTTGTACAAACGGTCAATAAGCACTAGAAAAGATGTTCAGCATCATTACTCACAAGGGAAGTGTGAGGGCCGGGGATATAGCTCAGCTGCACAAGCACCTGCCTGGCTAGCGCAAGGTCCTGAGTTCGATTCCCAGTACAAAAAAAAAAAAAAGGGAAGTGTGAGTCGGAACCACACTCCCTGCCTCTAGGACAGCCATACTTTTTCTCAAGATGGGAAGATATCAGATGTGAGTGGGTGGGGAATTGTGACCTGCCAGCAGGGTTGCAGAAAGACATAGGCACTGTGTAAAGAGGCCTGGTGGCTCCCCAAGAAGCTAAACCGAGAACCACCCCAGGACCCAGCAGCTCTGCTCCTAGGCATGCACCCGAAAGCTAAAGCAGGTGCTCAACAGACGTGTGCTTCAGTGTGATAGCTGCGCTACTCACAAGTCAACAGAAGCACCCTACTGCCCACCACCGGAGGAGTGGGCGATTTATTCCATTTTTATTTATTTTTGTTATTGTTGTTTTTTCAGTTTTGTTTTTGAGACAAGAGTCTTGCTATGTAGCCCAGGTCGGCCTCGAACTCCTGGTGATCCTCCTGCCTCAGCCTCCTAAGTGCAGGGATCACAGGTGTGCCCCGCCACACCCAGCTGACTGGCTGTTTTAAAACGTGGTAAATACACACACGGAGAATATCGTTCCACCACAGGAAGAAAGGGAATTCTGGTCTAGGCTGCCTCGTGGAGAAACACTGCAAAATATTCTTTTTAAGTGAAGTAAAGCCAGCAGCAAAACCAAAAATACAGGTATGGTCTGATTTCACTTATAAGAGGTACGAGGAACAGAGAGAAAAAGAATAGAGGCTGCCCAGGGCCCAAGAGGAGGTGAGCGGGGGGGATGTTATTAATGAATGTGGAGCTTCCGACCAGGAGTTCTGGGAATGGCTAGTGGAAGGGTTGCACAAATTACAAACATACTTCACCCCAGAACCGTAAGCTTCAAATGGTTCCAATGTTAAGTTTTATGTCTATTTTACCAAAATCCTTCTTTTTTTTTGTATGTTTTTGAGGCAAGATCTAGCTCCGTAGTCCAACTTGGTCTTGAACCCACTTTGTAGCCCAGGTGGGCCTCAAACTACTGTGGTCCTCTTGCCTCAGTCTCCCAAGTGCTGGGATCACAGCTGTGTGCCACCATGCCCAGCTCACAATAAAATGTTGTGTGTGATTTTTTAAAAAAGAGATGAAGGCTGGGCATGGTGGCGTATGCCTGTAATCCCGGCACTCGGGAGGCTGAGGCAGGAGGATCGTTGTGAGTTCGAGACCAGCCTGGGCTACAAAATGAGCTCAAGGCCAGCCTGAACTGCATAGTGAGACCCTGTCTCAAAAAAACAAAAAAAAAGAGACGAACTCTCAGAGCCACAGAAAGACAAGGAGAAATTTTAAGTGTATATTGTTACGTGAAAGGTGACACACTGTGTGATTCCAACTCTGACACTCTAGAAAAAGCAAATCTGTGGAAACAGAAAAGGACCAGGAAGGACTAGGGGTGTAACTCAATGGTACAGTGCTTGCCTACATCATAAGGCCCTGGGTTCACTCCCCAGTACTGGAAAAAATAAAAGATTAGGCATTCAAGGTAATGGACGGAAGGCCAGGAAAAGCAGAAAGACACTCAGGGTTGAGCAACTGCACTCTGATGCAGTAATGGAGGACACCATTGGTCATATATTTGTCACAACCCATAGAACATGCTGGGTGCAGTGGCACATGTCTGTAATACAAGCAGTCTTGGAGGCTGAGGCAGGAAGATGACAAGTTTTAGCACAGTGATCTAGCAAAACCTCTTGAAATAAAGAAGGGCTGGGAAGAGCGGGGCATAGTGGTGCATGCCTGTAATC